TGAGTGTCCGCCGGCCACATGGAACCACAGATGTCAAAGAGGAGAGCTTCATTTCTTTACTCACACATAAGTATATTGTATTATTTGTATAAAAATAAGCTCGAGTCATAACACTTTATTTGCGCATCACTCGTTTAATGAATCATATTTTGTGATATTTTTTTAATTATATATTAAATCGGGTTGGCTCTTTGATACTTCACAGTATTTTTGTGTGGCACTGAGTAGCTGCAGGTATACTTTGTATAATTTGACTGTAATTATTTTGTTTTCTGTCTGTTAAACAGTCGGATTTTGTGCCTTGTTCTGTGCATCTGAAACTTCACGTGCTTTCTAACCTCATGAAAATGTGCCAAAAGAGTTTTTCTACCTACATAACGTGTGACTTATGGATGTAAAGGTACGCAAACACATGTTTAACATTAACAAAGCACGCGCAAAGACAACATTTGTAAGAAAATCCATATATTTACAAAAAGCTTTAAGTCTACAGCAAAATAAACACATTTAAATGCAGATAATATGACTAAACTATACATATATATACGTATATATGTGAGCCAGCCCTGCTCGTTAACTGTAAAGAAAAAGTCATCGCAGCAGTGTGCTCCGTTTCCCAGTTTCAGGTCCTGGCAACTTTCAGGGGTGGGGGGGGTAGAATCTTAAAGACATGACTACATCTGAAGGCATGAGACAGAAAGCTTTAACCCAGTTCGTTATCAGACTTCAGCTCCTGAAATATGGATTAAATGTGGACAGGATTATTGGAAGTGAGGAACAGCAAAGCACCAAAAGCCTCCGAAAGTTTCCCTTTGATCGCTTTGCAAATGTCCAGTTCCCCGGCATCGGATTCTCGATTTAGCTGCCTTCAGGTTGAGGAAAACCGTGTGAGAGGGCGTGACTGGGTCTGGGACGGGCGTTTTTTCCTCCTGTGATCTTGGACACGTCGGGCAGTCTTTAAACACATGAACACATTTTTCTTTGGTTGAGAAACAGGAGCTTCTCAGTTCTGGTTAATAACCGTTATTAACGCTACATGAAATAAAGCTTACGCAGTTGTTTGGTGTAACCCTGCTGCTCATTGTTGCTCCTTCAAATGACATTTCTGGACATTTTAAATCTTCTTTTTTTTTTTTTACTGCAGGTTGCTGTTGATTTTGACCAATAGGTCCTCAGTAAAAGTTCAGTTGACCTTTTCCTAGTAAATTCCACAATATCAAAGACATTTTTCAACTTATCAATGGATCTTTTGTGAGTTTTTTGGGGTTATGACTGTATAACTGTGTGCTTCACGCCTTCTGTTCGTTTTTGGGAGGTGTTTCCAAACCCTGGAACTAGAGGCCTGCATGTTTTCCATGTTTCCGTCTTCCAGCACATTAGACCTCCCCATCAGAGCCCCCAGTTCTGCCATCTTACTTAATGCACCCAGATTAATTATTGAGTTATGAAAAAGGAGATTTTTAGTTTCTTTAAGAGGCAAAAGAATAATGTTTGTTATGGCTGTGAGGGTTTTTGGAGGTAGGAAAAAATTAATTTGTTTGCATTTTTCATTGTAAACGTCTGGATTTCACCAGATCTTACAACAGAATGATCTTTAAAAGTTAGTTTTAATTCTTATTTAAAGCATCGTGCCTGAATGCAGCAGTCGCATTAACATGCAAACGATGCATTTCTTAAATAAAAATCAACAAACAAAACAGAAGATTTAACCTCACACATCACGTTTCCAGTTTCTTTCCGATTAGAGATGACTAACTACTTTAGAGGATGGTTAGAAACTTGAGAGTATTCCTCAGACTCTGGATCAGGGACTCAAACTGATCCTGTCCGGGCCGACACCCCTCAGGTTGGAGATTTTTCCTTGAGTCAGAGGAACTTCTAGGCGAATCACAACATGGTTATATGCTATGAAATCCTTTGTTTCTCACTCTGGAGCTTTAATGGAGATCCGTTTTCTAAGTTCAGGGCATGAATTCTTATTGTGAGAATTCCTGTCTGGAACAGGAGTGACCCGGTCTGGTTTGTGTCCCACAGGATGAGGATTCCCTCCACATTTTGCCCCTTCCTTTAACATTTTTAGGAGGAAGCTGACGAGTTCCAACAGGCTGCTGCTTGTAGTTTTGGAAAAATCTGTTCATGTTCAGAACCGTCAAATGTTTGTCTAAGATCAGAGGACTACTAACGAGCTTTGCTCACCGTTTCTCAGCAATTATAAAACACAACTACAATTTTAGCTCCGTTACAACATTAGAAGATAAAAACGCTACAGTTAAATGGTAAAAAAAAACAAAAAAACAGAAACGCGTCCATCTTTCCGCCTTCTTCCTTTCGTCCCAGAACGACACAGAGTGAGATTTCACCCCTTCTGATCCCTTTGGCAAATCACCTGGAAATGTTGCTTTAGAATCTCTGTTCTGTCCGTTTGTTTTTGTGGTTTTTAGTGGGTCCAGTTCAGGGCGTTAGCGTTCGGAGCCGGCTCTGGCCTCCAGCAGGGCTCTGAAGCGCGCCTCTGGGAGTCACTGGGAGGGCCCCCCGGGCCTGGTCCTGGTCCCGGCCCCCCCGCCGGGCGCTCAGACGCTGACGCTGACGTGGCGGGAGGCGGCCATGCGGCGCTTGATGCGTGCGCGGCGCGGGCGGGACTCGTTCTGGCAGCTGCACAGCGGCCCCAGCAGCAGCCACAGGTACAGCAGCACACAGGCCCAGCACGACGACATCTTCACCCAGAACGTAGACCAGCTGCCGTGGGTGAAGGTGGTCTCCAGCACCGCCGACTCGTAGCTGCAGGACAGGGCGCCAAACGCACAAATAACCGTCTCTGAGAGGCTCAGGGGGGGTTCTGGGCTTAAAGGAGACATATTCTACCCTATTTCAACAAGTTAAGCTAGTCCCCTGGTGTCCTAATGTAATGTCTGTGACAAGCTTTGGTCAGAATCCCATAAGGATGAAGCCCAATAGCAGTTCAGTCCCCCTGCCTAACCCTAACTCTAACCCTAACCCTAACCCTAACCCAAAACAGCCCCGTTCAGAGCCGTCGCTTTGGAGTGCCTGTCTCTTTAAATGCAAATGAGACACAGGCAATCCGCCCACTTCTTCAGGGAGGTGTGCCCACG